TTTATTGTTCTTGTGGTTGTTGTTGTTATTGTTCTTGTTATAGTTATTGTTCTTGTTCTTGTTCTTGTTGTTGTTGTTGTTGTTGTTGTTGTTGTTGTTGTCTTTAAAACTGTAACTGTCTTGCTCTGATGGTCATTCTTGGGGGCCCTAAAACCCTGAACCCTGAGCACGTTGGGATAGTGGAAAGAGCCTTCAAACACAATGCCAAAACCCTCGTCTCTGTCCTAAGCCCGAAATCCCGAAGGCCCCAAGGCTCGTATCAACTCTTCAAAGGGTTGGAGACCGACGGGATACCTCCAGTTCGAGACCACATCGTTTCTCCCCTTCAGAGTTTTGAGTCTAAGAAGGCCGTCCTTGGCTGGACTCGGTAGCATTTTCTGAAGGTCGAGGAGATTGATCGCTGATTGAATCGGTGTTCAACTTCATCATCCATCGAATCCGCTCTTGAAGGCCTTAACATAGGATTCGTAGTATAATGTGCGTTATCTAAAATGCCCTAGACCAAAACTTTAAATCCCTAATCTGCTTTGACTGAATGGATTGATCAGGCATGCTTTTCGGTAAACCCTAAACCCTAAACCCGGATGGCCTTTTTTTGCTTCTGTGTTGATTGCCGGATTGCGTCTGAGTCTTTGTACAAGATAGGACTGGCTACTCTGCGAAGCCAGTGTTGATCAGACGCAGCTCAATCACTCGACCATTTTGGAGTTTCCGAAAATTAGGGTACCTTATTTTGGGGTCCTTACATTAAGGATCCTATTATTAGGGTCCCCTATTTTCAGAAACCCCCATTTCTTTCCGCCTGCAGCAACTTTATAACTGCGGCGCAGCTTGGGAGCAGTGACTTGTACGCCTATGATGCCCCCACTTTTCCCTGACGATCAGGCCCTGCTAGGTGAAGCGCCGTGCAGCTCTGAAAAAGCCTGCCAGGAAAGTGCAGCTCATCGTGGAAGGCGTCATAGCTAAACAGCTGAACTAACATGACCCAAGACCCAACCCCTAAAACCCTAAACCCATATCTCCCTGAAAACAGCCGAGACCCTAAACCCTAAATCTTGAACCCTCAACTCCGAGCTGGGATGCTACGCATCCAAGACTACTAGCCCCAAACGTAAGGCCTAGACATGCGCAGACTCTACAACCGCATAGTCTAAGCCCAAGCCTGACACCGACTCCGAGATTACTTGAGCAAGCCGGTCCCCGGCGTGGTGCTCAGCTTCTTGGCGGTGGCCTTGTGGATGCTGACGATCATGAGGCTTGACTGCAAAGACTCGAGTTCGCTACGGGCCTATTTGCGCTTCAGCCAAGATAGTTGGGGGATATACGGGCATGGGCTGCTCCCCCTAAATTAGACCCCTAGCCCCTAAAGACCCTAAACCCTAAACTCTAAACCCTAAACCCTAAACCCTAAACCCTAAACCCTGAACCCTAAACCCAAAGCCGACCTGCAAACCCCAAACCTCCTAAGCGGTTTGCATCCCAAACCTTCCTGGAGAGTCGGCTCACAGGCTTTCCCCTGAGCTATCGGTGGATGATATAAATCCGGCATTACCTTAAGGACCCTAGGGTTTGGGGTTTAGGGTTTAGGTTCAGCAGCTCCGGATCGAGTAGTTTTATAGTAGAGTTGTATTCACGGTTTCG